CCCCATAAGATTTTAATTGAGACAGAAATAATCTGTGATAGCCTAATATAAAAACTTTCAATTTTATTTCTATTCAATTTTGAAGATCAGATTAGTAAGGCTAATTTTCCTTTTAATTATTCAGGATGTTATTCTGACTAATGGGCCCTGTAGAAATTGTATTTTCTTGTTTTAAACGGCAAATCTACTATTTTATTACTTAAAATGCTGGACACCGTATTTCAGGGAAGGAATGAAATATTTCTGGTGGTTCATATTTCTGGTGGTTCCTAGGGTCTCCCTTGAAGATCCCCCCTTGCTAAAATGTTAAGACTATACCACTGAGTTTGGTATAGTCTTAACATTTTAGCAAGGGGAGATCTTGTTTTCACTTTTGTACACGGACTTGCAAATGCGAATGAAAATCTGCTGTTAAGCCCCGTTCAAATAAGGATGAGAGTTGAGAAGCAAGAGTTTGCATCAGAGTTCTCAACTCTCATGCACGCCACGGTCAAAAAGAACAACAAGTGCGTGAGAGTTTCCAATTCATCAATTCTGAACTCAAAATTTGAACCAGTTCAAAACGTTGATCATGAGAGTGCATTTAAAAATTCAATGTTTAATTTCTTTGATTTGTTGATGTCGGAGCTAAATGTCAACGTCTATATATGCTCCACAGTATATTGACCTAACGACCACTAGTATTCTTGTCTGTATACCATAAATGCAAATCATAAAACTTACCAAACGTTTAATTTTCCTGAAGGCCATATGTTGATGCAAATGAAATTTTGAACGGAAATGCTAAGTATTATTTAATTAAGGCGTTTAAATTAGTTGAGAACTGAAGTTGCTTTGTCTGCTTGTATGTTTACTTTACACCTGTGTGATATTATATAGTTTTCTAAACACTTCAATAGTCTAGTATTGTGTACATGCAGTATATATGTAAAATGAACGGGTACCATGCACGTGTCTCTATATACACAGTTAATCTATATAGAGACTTAATAAAATTCATTAATTCTCTAGTAGTATTATGACCTGAATGCTTATTTCTAGAATGGCTTAAAACATCGTAGCTTCAAGTTGCACTGATTTTGAAATTTGAAACACGAAAACGCAAAATTAAATAAGCTTGGAACCAACTATATAAGCACAGCTGAGCTATCAAAACAAGATGGCGGCTTATAACAAACATTTCAGAGTATACTACTTCATTATTATAGCTCTGACGTCTAACCTCAAAATGCAGTTTGAGGTGAAGTAAACATTTGTTAAACATCAATTTTAAGGTCTCTATATTTTCAACTTACATCTTGGGCTATATGTATGAAGTGCAACTAATGTTTTTAACTGAATTTTGCGAGGGCTGACTTTGATTCAACTGATCCTTGAATTCTTATATATTGTGCAATGGCAGAAGAATAAGTTAAAGTAACATCATCTCTCAGTATTACTGAGAGCTGTATATATATATATATATATATATATATATATATATATATATATATATATATATATATATATATATATATATATATATATATATATATATATATATATATATATATATATATATATATATATTTATGTCTCCACCTTCCCCTTCGAGTTTATAAGGATCAAACAGCGTTGCATTAACCGAGCTTGGTTTACTGGCATGCAGGCACAAAATTTTAGACGACACTTTTATGGGAAAAATTTTGGCTATGAATATAGTTCATAGCCGCTTTATTGAAAATATTTAATGAAATAACATATTCTCTGACATCAAAATAATACTGATGTCTAGATTGATTATATAAGTGTTCTATAGCCAGTAAAGGTGGCAGGAATATACGCATTAAAAAGTTCATATATATAATTATATACAATCAGATAAAAAATAAATGCTTATGATATTGCTGGCAGGCCTGCGGGAGGAGGTGGGTAAATTCTGAGTTCTTCACTTGACCACTGATATTGGAGACTTGCAAAATATCTAAGTTATCTTGGTTTAATACCAAGAGATCGACCTTGATCTTGGCGCAGCTGTTACGTAGTTTCAAGTGCTCTAAATTTCCTCCCTCTTCAACAGGCGCGCCAGGGATTATGATTAAATATAATTAAATTTTTTTTCTGTGTTGGTGTTGTGTACTCAGGTGAATAATATGTTTGCGATGTTACTCTGAGTGCATATCCACACCGGGCGAGCTTGAAAAATATGCCCGGCAACGGTGGGATTCGAACCTACGACCTTTGGATACTAGCCCAATGCTCTTCCAACTGAGCTACGCGGTCAGGACGGTTCGAGTAAGTGATATTTCGGAACAGTATCTGGTTCCTTCAATACCAATGTGTTCTAGTAATATGAATTTTTCTGTGTTGGTGTTGTGTACTCAGGTGAATAATATGTTTGCGATGTTACTCTGAGTGCATATCCACACCGGGCGAGCATGAAAAATATGCCCGGCCACGGTACGATTCGAACCTACGACCCTTGGAATACTAGCCCAATGCTCTTCCAACTGAGCTACGCGGTGAGGACGGTTCGAGTAAGTGATATTTCGGAACAGTATCTAGTTCCTTCAATACCAATATGTTCTACTAATATGAATTTTTTTTTCCTGTGTTGGTGTTGTCTACTCAGGTGAATAATATGTTTGCGATGTTACTCTGGGTGCATATCCACACCGGGCGAACTTGAAAAATATGCCCGGCCACAGTGGGATTCGAACCTACGACCTTTGGAATACTAGCCCAATGCTCTTCCAACAGAGCTACGCGGTCAGGACGGTTCGAGTATGTGATATTTCGAAACAGTATCTAGTTCCTTCAATACCAAT